ACCGCGTATATATCACCTGTGGCCATCTCAGGCAGCTCCCTGGAGCTCGAGGTTGCGACTGTTTGTTTGGATGGTTGGGATTGGTGACATATTACAATTCATCCAGATGGTTGTATCATGTTGTATCCATACGAGTTTTTCAGAAAAGTTAGGGGCGATCCATGCCATGGGAATACCACTTAAGTTAACCCGATTTTTGAACAATCTCATGTTCACTGTTTTGCATGGGGCAAGGAGCTACGAATTGAGTTGCCTAACGGCCTACCGTTTTGAAAAGGGATTGATTTTGTTTTGGATGGGGTTGGTTGGGCTGAAGGGTCTAAAGGGGCCCTTTTGGCAGCAGGAATCAATCCCTTAAAATGGGGATTTTAAAAAACGGTTTCATCTAAAAATATCTTTTGGCAGCAAACCGTTCTTCAGGGAACCCAAGGATGTTATTCACCCAGATTCTGGGGGTTCATTTTTCACTTTTCCCGCACCCCTAGAACCAATGCAGGGAAAGAATGTAAAGCCACTTCAGATTGTTTTGGACTCAAACACTGACAAAGACTGCAGCTGATTCGATTTGCAAGTTCTACAAACTAGAGATAGTCATGGATACCCTCCGGTAATTTCACATAGCTCTTGAAAATTGCCCAGTCGAAATTCGTTGATTTACCCATTCATGGTGATTTTCCCATTAGCAAAATCGTTCTTTAAAACCAGAGGGTTAGGTTAGCAATCCCTTTCACAGGTTTCAACCAATCGATCTTTCGAGGAGCCCATCGATCATTAAGAAACGTGAGCCATTGATTACTCACAGAAACATACCCTCTGGTTATTTAACATAGCCATGGAAAATCACCATTTATAATGGGTAAACCATCTATAAATGGGCCATTTTCCATGGCTATGTTAAATAACCAGAGGGTACGTGATACATTATGCAACACTGAGCCATTCATTGATTTGCCATCAATTATTGCGAAAATTAGAAGATTTGGAAGCCAAAAATTGGCCGCAAAAAAAGAAAGCACCAGCTCCCACGCAGATGGCAAGCTATGGGCCTAGGCCTCATGTCATGTGATAGCCCCATTCGACAATTTGACGTAGCCAGTATACCACCACTATGACCTCACTGTAACCCTATAACCCTACTATTCACTCCAGAATGACCGCGTTATATAGCATTCTAGTCCCAATATAAATCTGAGTACACCCCACTAGCATCTGACATTTTGGCCAATTTTTCAGCCCAAGTCCGATGCAGCCATCATCACCTCACTCCAAGCCCATCAATCAAGAATTTCTCAGAACCTCTTTTCCAATATTTCCATCCCCAAATTGCGGCCATTAAATTATATCCCCCAAAATCTTTGTGGCTTTCATATACCTACATTCACACACACATGCAGATAAGCATTTAATCATCCTGAAGAAAGAATATGGTTTTTTCGAACATATTCCGATGTCTTATTTTTTTTAATTTCCAAAGTAGAGACATATCATGTCACCTTAAAGAATATCATTGGTCACATATTCTATCTACTTGAGGGTGACCATGTGCACAGATGCCATTTTGTTGGGACGTGTCAAAAGCGACATTTTTATGCCAGGCTAGAGGTGCCCAGCAAGATCTCGGAGACACGTCCCTCCCAGGACAGGTTTCTGTTTTCTGTGCGCCGAGACACCCGTCGTTTTTGTTGATTTTTCTTGGAGCCCATGATTCGTATCGGATTAGTATAGCTAGATATAGCTAGATCAGGTTTTTATGTATACCAGAAACATCCAGAAATGAAGGCATATTGGCATTGGAGTTACTGGCAGCAACTGACAGCTAACTATGAACTTCACAGGGATGACACAGCCAGTGAACATGGTGAGTTAATGGGATATACCACAGATATAATGGGATCAGAGATATAATTGCTAATACGCATCATTAACTAATCCTTGGTGATAATCCTATCCCACAAATATACTAAACGCCAGAAACCGTGGTTTCGTAGGTGATGAAATCACATATTTGGGACGCTACAATGGGAGTGTTTGATATTAGGGGATGGGATTCATAATGCTAATGAACAACTCTCATGAATCATGTCGATAATGTTGTCAATAATGTTGCTAGTATATAGTCACCATTTCATTTTTAGGTCAGGATAATCATCGTGGTCATGAAATGCTCTAGTAATGATGGTCCGTTAGTAGCTACCATGAACTTTTTTTTTCTGTTGTTCTCCAATTTTATTGTGATCATTTCAATACACAAGGATGAATCTAATGAAATTATGTAATATTTGTACAATGACAATGCGAATATATATATATATACATATATATATATAAACGTGATCATCACAATAACCATGACAACAATAGTTGTAAGTTTTTTTAATTATTTAAACCCACCTATATAACGAGAGTTACTATCACCACAAACCCCAACCTATTCATATACCAACTTCGCTAAGCGCACTGCAGGCGTCCCTGCCGCCACCTCCAGCCAGTGTACCCACCGGGAGATCGGGCAACGTGAGTGTTGGGACGCCACAGATGTTTCTGGAGTGGTACCGAAACGCCATAACCGGTGCTTCAAGACCTCATTTTCATCAAGAACGGGAATCAATAGTTGAAACCGTGGAATACCCTGTTCAGGCCAAACGCCGCTTCTGAATGGATGTTCATCCCGCTATTCAAACATTTTGACCCGTACCTAGAGTGCTAGATCACATGGACCAGCTTGCTCTATTTCTGGGGGGATGGAGTTACCACTTCGTATTTTTGCCAGGAAGCAGCCAGCAATTCCGTTTCAAACCCTCGAGAGAACCTTCAGGAATGACAACGTTTTTTTTATTAGTGTCGATATTACCATTGCACGAGATATGGATGACAAGAAGCCAGCAACTACGACATTTGGGATTCAAATTTGTTTGGTTCTATGACCGGCTGTGTTGCTTCCACATCTATTTTGCAGTTGAAACAACACTTTTCAATGAAGGCTTCAAGCCGAAAGTGCAAACTGTCGACGTCCTCAGTTTTTGTTGAAAAATATTGACATGTGATCGAGCTGTTTATGATTCCCAACAATTTAAAACAATTTACACTCCCAGAAGTCTGATTTTGTTGTTTATTTAAAGATCCATTTCGGTCGGATATGTATATATATATGTATATAAGTATATAAGTATATAAGTATATATGTATATATGTACATATGTAAATATGTATATATATATATGTATATGCATATATATATATATACATGTATATGCACATATATATATATATATACATTGGTTGATGGTCTTTACATAACATATGAGTTCTAATCCCACAAACAATCCGATTCCCTCCAATCCCATTGTGATCATATTAAAGAATAGAATGGCATATATTAAGATAGAATTACACATCCCATTCGATTGCCATTATTGGGGGATGGTCATCATTTATGGAGAGTTATACTTTCATCAAAGAGGGATTCGCATTATAACCATTATTAACCATTATTAACCATTATTAACCATTATTAACCAAAGAGGAATTCGCATTATAGGATGAATGACTATATAACCCATAGTAGCCCATGTAACTTGACCATGGGGCATGTATCTTGGTTTATAGATGGATATCGATGGCTACCCTCCGGTAGTCGTAAACATGGCTTTTTGGAAACACTTCCACCATTTATAGAGCTATAGAGCTTCATTTAGTTCGGGGATTTTCCATTGACGCTGTTTGATCACCAAAAGGTAAATCCCATCAATCACCACTAATCACCACTAATCATCATTATTAACCATTATTAACCATTATTAAGCATTATTAACCATTATTAACCATTATTAACCATTATTAAGCGTTATCAACCATTCTCCAACCATCATCCATAACTATCTCTGAAGATCTCCCATGGCCCCAAGGTCCCAGCCTCTCGAAGAGGACGCAGCAGGCGCCGGCCGAGGTTGTCGATTTTTTATGCTGAGCAGATGCTGAACATTGAAACCCGGTCGGATTCTGATCTCTCATCAAAAACACTGACCTTTCGGAGATTTTGAGGATTCTTCCCTGGGATTCTGTTCAACGAGATGTTCACCAACAAGCCGCTGCCCATTTCGCCCACTTCTGTGGCAAGACCCGGAAGAATGGTATAGCCATATAGCCATCGTATAGCCATGATTAGAACTCCGCTAATCAAGTCCTTTGACTGTGGCAACAGATATCCGCATCTCAATTGAATTGCAGCGCCAACTTAGGGTTGTCTCAACTTTGGAGCCAAATCCCACGGCTTATCATCATTTATCCCGGTCAAATTGCCATCCATTGACATGTTTTGTCACATTTTGAGACTGCTGACAGCAGACTCAAAGCAAAAGATCAGCCAAATTATGGCTGATCTCAGGATTTTCAGCCATAATATAGCCATCATATAGCCATAACATAGCCATAACTATTATATCATGATATTCCCATGATCTCCACCTGAGATAGTTCATTACCCCGACATTATCATCCGGGGACGTCAGGCCAACTTCGCCGATGCGCAGCGAGTATCAATGGTTCGAGGCGCCCAGTTTTCGGAGGGAGATATGGCACCAAAAATGGCACCGTTTAAAAAGAAATGCACCGAAGTTGGCCAAGTTGGCCTTTTTCTCCAATTTGGAGTGGCAAGTTGTTGACCTTTTCTGAATCTTTTGGGTTGGATGATGGTAACGATAAAATCTGGTAGCTATTCTGGCTGAGGGTCTGACGGAATGGGAATCTCCAGAAACACGGCGGATTTCTCCGCTCTGCTGGTGACAGCAGTCTCCAAAGTCCTTACGGCCCAAACATTGCCACTCCGCAAGACATCATCCTGATTTTTTGAGGATTTTCAGGTATTTTCACGTATTATGATCCTTTGATTTTGAGGATTTTCAGGTATTTTCACCTGGTGAAATTTGAGGATGACATGAACGCTTTCAGAGTTGCATGTGGTATCCCACATGGCCGTATATGTCTTGCTTCTGGCTCGAGTTATCTGGGGGAACGCCTCGGTGGGGGCGTGCAGAGTGGCAGCTTGGGCTGCAGAGGGGGGGTTAGAGCCTGTTGGGAGAGGGCCAGGTATGGCTCGAACATGCGGGATTTTTCACAAGTTATAGCAAGATTGATAGGGAAAATGATGATCAACTAGCAGATTTGGAGTTGGATGGGTTCTCAAGATCTAAGACCTATCGAGACATTCTGGCCATTTTTATTCCATTTTTTGGGTTTGCCAATTTCAAGATCGTTTCGGAGTGATCTTAGATCAATTTGGAACGCATGACTCATGACCTGATGTCGCATCCCCTTGGGATGCGTCATTGCAACGTTGGGATGCTGTATCTCCCGCTGGGTTGTGCCTCCAGGGTAGGCCTCCTAGAAAGGGTGACTTCTTCCGCAGCCGCAGCTGGTTTTCTTGGTTTGAGGACCTTCAACAGGCAAAGCCATAGGCAAATTCCAAGGATTTTTACTCATGACATACCTGCCATTCGGATCCATTCGGCATCGCCAAATCCTCAAAGACTCAGTGGCCTTGACATTTTCCGTGGTCAAATGATCTCTGCAGGATGGAGGTTTTTTTTGCTCGAAAATGGAGCTTGAAAAACTCCAACAACATGGAAGATGTTTTTTTTTTAAACCAAAAGATCAAAAATAATCAGAAGCTTTTGATCCATTGGTCCCAGCACCTGCCTCAGGGCACTATGGCCGGTGCTGAAGGCCGGTGCTGAACCGGAAATTGGCACTCGAAATTTTCCTCAGACCCAAGAAATGGCCACTAGCCACTGGCGAATTCTGCAAGGTGCAAGTTTCATTTGTTAGTCAATCAATGCCTTTTCAATTTGCAATTAATACTAGTTAATGAGTTTGCAGGTTCAAGGTTTTTGGCTGAGAAGCATCTGTCCAATGTCCATTCAGGCATTTAGAGTGGATACGTTGGATTGAAATGAATTGGCTAGAATTTTCACAATCACATTTCCACGACACCAAAATCCCAAACATAAACATCAATTATTCAGGTCGGTCGGCTTCATCTCTTTCTCCCTCCATGAGTCACGCTGCCTCCAGCATTCTGCGATTGCGAAGGTTTCAATTCCCCGCGAGTCGGGATATAATAAGATACCGGTGATCGAACGTGAATCTTCCCATTGATGTTGCTGAAAAAATCCCACAGAATACTCCAGACTCCACATGGATTGTTGATGATATCCAGAATCATTCTAGTTATATACATCAATATACATTAATAGTAAAACATAGTAAAACCTGGAATCTTGTTATGGATGTTCATTTACTTCCATATACATCCATTGTTTGTTGGTGCCAGAAGCTTCTTGGGAATAGAATTCCCTGCAGCAGCTGACAGGGGCGGAAGAGGCTCTGCTGGCGGGATGTTGAAATGTGGTAAACCCTGTCTAAGTTTATAAAATTTGTATTTATTCAAAATGTATCTTTTCTTTTAAAGCTGGTCTCTAAGTTTACATGTATCTATGTAGTTGGGGCACCAACAATACCCAGCTAAGAATATGAATATATTCGCCAATTAGTACCTAAAGTTAGCCATGGTTGGGGGATGTGAGGGGTAGCTACAAACAAATTCAGAGTTTGATTTGATGTCCGCTTCCCACTGATTGGCTGATTACTTGGAGGGGTTAACATCTGCTGACTAGTGGGCAAATAATATTAAATGATACTGGACGGGACCCAACATATTCTTTTTGCATTGGACATCATTGAAATTGGCAGGAACCGCTAGAAGTGTCTTGGGGACACGAAGGGCCGACCCTCCAAGTGAGGACTGGCCGTGTTGCGTTGCCAATCATCTCGTTTGGTGCCAAAAAGCACGGGTTTTCCATGATATTCCATGGTATTTCATGGTATTTCATGGCCAAAAACCCATGGCACCATGGTCATTTTTGATGCTAACCTTTATCAGAGGTCACTATGAGATCCTACAGCCAGGTGCCGCCGAACCCCATGGCTGGCGGCCTGGAAATGGTGCAGCCACAGATGGGAAGTCAGGCGCGGCCGGCAATTGATATTTGATGGGAACATCTGAATACAGATGGTTTTAAATGGTTTTATATAACACATTCCTTTTTCACATAGACTTGGGCTTTCCATTATAATCTGAGGATTTTCCATTGCTAGGCTTAGCAGAGGGTCCCTAAAATCTTAGAAATTGAGATATCTAGACTCTGTAAGGTCTTTTTCCAGGCCGCTGAGGCAATTTCCACTCAACATGTGGCTGGTCTTGAAAGGGCCGGAGCTGCAGGTATTCTCCGTTGATCTAGAGGGTGTGCGCAAGCGAACAAGGGTTTTCACCCACCCCTGGTATAACCTTACAAGGACGATGTCAATCATGAAATAGTCGCCACAAAAGGTGGTATCAAGCCGATCCACTGATCAACACGCAGCAAGCTTCATCCTGAAACAAGGCACCAACAGGATGCAGTGACAGAACATCGCCAGAAATGGCATTGCAAATGCAGAAAGGTCATTCCATCAGCCACTTCAGCGGTCAAAAGTTCACTGCAGTCATCACATCTGTACAATACTTGGGATCTGCACGATCCCATGGCTGGTAAAGCTTCATCAAGAAACCAGAAAAGCATCCAAATAAGGCAGACCATTACTTAAGTCTGAGACTCAAAGCACGGGCAGCAGGCGCTACCGCTTCTCTTCAGAAGGTCAAAACCAAATTAAGCAGCTTGCGGCTCAAAATTAGTATCCAAGTCACTCCGAAGCCGACACAAAAACTTGCAAGTGGAAGAACCATGCAAAGAGGAATTGCATCCTGAAGGCCACAAGGGGGCGTGAACCCAAGTCAATGCCGCACTCGTTTCTTCTCATCGGAAGGTCAAAAGAAGTCACATCCATCCAAAAACAAACTGCCCATTAATTCATCCACGCGAGGTGCGTGGCAAGGAACTGTCATGAAGTTACCAACAACGCTCAAGCAACGCGTTCGCTTGCACCATCGGCACCATTCCAAAGGACTCATCCTCACGGTCAGCCACCAGAAAAGGCACCTCTTGCCGGAAGTCAGCATCCGTTGCATGGGCGCCAAGGCAAAGCAGCAGTTGTAGGAAGCCCAAAAGAATGATGTAATGATCGCACAGCTTGTGAAGAGAATCCGACAGGCGAAGGGCGTCGGTCCACATATCTTCCAGTGGCCGAAGCAGCAGAATAAAAAGCCGAATCACCATCTGTAAGGTGAAATCCATTTCTACCCCAGGCAACTCCTAGTTCCCCCCAGTGATGATTAGTTCGACGCAGATTTATGTGGAAGTTCAAACCCTATGGTTTCCGTATTGTTCTTGGGATGGACATCCAGCTACACGTACAAGAATTACTTTTGATGTGAAAGCCATGGGATTCCACGGTGAAGCGACCCTGCAAAACGGATCTTGGCAACTTTGGCCCAGGAAATGATGGCACTCACCATGTTCCAATTCCAATTCGGGAAGTTTCTTGAAATGGGGGATCCCCAAAGCCATGGCTTTCAAAACCAAAACGGTCTAATTTTGGATGATTTGGGGGTACCCATATTTTAGGAAACTTCTTTATATATAATAAATAAATAAATCAATAAATAAATAAATAAGTAAATAAATAAATAAATCGATAACTAGATAAATAAATAAAATCAAATAAAATAAATAAATAAATAAATAAATGAATAAATACATAAATAAATCATATATATATAATTCTATCTATCTATCTAGCTATCTATCTAGCTATCTATCTAGCTATCTATCTATCTATCTATCTATCTTATCTATCTTATCTATCTTATCTATCTTATCTATCTTATCTATCTTATCTATCTTATCTATCTTATCTATCTTATCTATCTTGTCTATCTTATCTATCTTATCTATCTTATCTATCTTATCTATCTTATCTATCTTATCTATCTTATCTATCTTATCTATCTTATCTATCTTATCTATCTTATCTATCTGATCTATCTGATCTATCTGATCTATCTTATCTATCTTATCTATCTTATCTATCTTATCTATCTTATCTATCTTATCTATCTTATCTATCTTATCTTTCTTATCTTTCTTATCTATCTTATCTATCTTATCTATCGTATCTATCTTATCTATCTTATCTATCTTATCTATCTTATCTTTCTTATCTTTCTTATCTATCTTATCTATCTTATCTATCGTATCTATCGTATCTATCGTATCTATCGTATCTATCGTATCTATCTATTCTATCTAATCTATGTATTCTATCTAATCTATCTAATCTATCCATCTATCCATCTATCCATCTATCCATCTATCCATCTATCCATCTATCCATCTGTCCATCTATCCATCTATCCATCTATCCATCTATCGATCTATCTATCTAGCTATCTATCTAGCTATCTATCTAGCTATCTATCTATCTATCTATCTATCTATACACACGCTAGGGGACACAAGTTCTTCGATACGTCACTTCTTTGTATGCTTGGTTGCAGTATGTTCAAAATTATGGTTTCGCTGTGGTAATTTGCTCATTTTTGAGCATATGGATTTGTCTTGGCAACTTTATGATTGACGGACATTTTTTCTTTCGTCCGTTGAAGTTGAACTACAACATGTACCCTTCATTGGGACCTCTTTTTGTTCTAACATATCCATTGGTATATGAAAAAAAGTGGTTAATTCACTGAGAAACGCCAGTCAAGATGAGAGAGGCAATTTTTGTATTGGTATTTGCTGTGTTTTGTTACATTGCCAACCGAGCAGTATCTTGATAGCCAGGATTTGTGTCTTCTACTTATTTATGTAATTTCTTTGTTCTCATGTTCTGTAGCATCACGCCCGTGCGCAAGTGTACTTAATTTGAACGTTATTGCCACCCCACCCCACCCCACCCCATCCGAGAAGTTGGGGCCCCTCGGGTATATACACATTTTTGTATATCAACATACATATGTATGTATATATATATACAATATGTATAGAGCTTGTATCCCCATTAAATGTTTCTTTCTAGCCACATGAACCACCAGATGATCAAAGTACCCTTCATATCAGGAGCTTCCAGAGCTTTTTGAGGACAGGGCAAGTGGTGACTGGTGGAGCTGGAGCGGGACCTTCAATTTCGAAGGTGTCCTAGATTCCCTCCATAGCCAAGTTGGTTTATAACTAACATAACTAGGTTTCAAGTTAACCAACAAAGGTTTGTTAGGGTGGCACCACCTTGTAAGTTGCCATTGTTTTTGCTGTAGGGTTTCAAAAGGAAAGGAAACCTGTGGCGCTGTTCTGATGGCACCCATATTCGAGACTCGTCACAGATATCCGGTGGCCTCAGGTGTTCTCGTTTCGGCACCTGGCTATGTGGCTATGGCCTGGCCGCTGAAACAAAAGAAGCGAAATCTCAGGTCGACCGTTTCGACGTCGCAGATCATTGGACCTGCGGGACCTGCGGGATGGCTCTTGAGGATCCGGCCGAAGTTGCAGCTGATGAAGCTGCAGCTGCAAAACACAACGTGTTCGAAATCTTAGGTGCGGCCGAAGAAGGCGACCTCCCGGCCGTCCGCGGCTTCGTCCGCCGCAAGCCGAAGAACGTGGACGAGATAGCAGCCGTTCGCGGCCACGTGGCGGTGGCCGAGTTCCTCGTGTCGCGCAATGCTGACGTCAACATCCAGAACGTCTGGTCGAGCACTCCGCTGCATATAGCAACATACCATGGCCATGTGGACTATATCAAAGTGCTCTTAGCGGCGAATGCAAAGACGAGCCTCAAGGACAGAGACGGCAAAACAGCCTTGGACCGGGCGAGAGAGAAAGGAAAGACGGAGATCGTCAATTTGTTGAGTGGAACTAAAGCATGAACGACCGAAAGATGGTGAATTTCGGGCCAATTAATTAGATGCTGCTAAGCAGCACAATGCAGCAGGTTCAGATCAAAAGCGGATACCTGGATACTGGCAAAAAAAACAGAATATTTCAAAACACTAAGAATCTGAGTAAGAAATTAATGAGAAAGGACAACAATGGCCACAACACCATTTTTGACGCGAGATACCCTGCCGTTGCTTCCTTGCTGAGATCGATTTTCATACCCATATTTCTGGGCCGAAGATGCCGAAGTTAGTGTTGAACAACACAGTTACTGTTAATTTTGAAGCTGGTAATAGTATGTATCACTATATGTACTATCATCACTTTCAGGCGTTGCTGCAGTGTTGAATATCTATTTTTAAAATGCTCGTATGTTCGTCTCCTATCTTCGCAAAATCACTAGTTTCACAGGTGACTTGGCACTGCACAGCGATCAATTTCAGCCCACATCCATCCGTTGGACTTGGGTCAGGACGAGCGAAAACGATGGCTGATCCTCCATGTCGCGTTGCCACGTTCAGGGCCCCAAGGACAGTCAGAATCCACTGATAAGTGGGATACGTACTTACACATATGCATATACATATACATATATATATACATACATATGCACAAACATGTACATATAGATACATACACACACACACTTGAAAGACCGTATGTCGTATGGAGTCCTGATTGGTCCCTCGAATTTATTTGTTTTTCTTGTCACTTCTACATGTATATATATATATATGAATGTACATATATACATATATACACATGCATAAATACATACATACATACCTACATACCTACATACCTACATACCTACATACCTACATACCTACATACAGACAGACAGACAGACATACAGACCTAGAGACATAGAGACATAGAGATGTAGAGACATAGACACATAGACACATAGAGACATAGAGACATAGAGACATAGAGACATAGAGACATAGAGACATAGAGACATACAGACATACAGGCATACAGACATACAGACATACAGACATACACATATACACATATACACATATACACATATACACATATACACATACATATACATACACATACATACACATGCATATACATACACATACATACGCATACATACACATACAAACACATATACACACACATACACACATACACACGTACGTACGTACATACACATACACATAGATACACATAAACATACACATACACATACATACACATACATACACATACATAGACATACATACACATACATACACATACATGAACATACATACACATACACATACATACACATACCTACACATACCTACACATACCTACACATACCTACACATACATACACATACATACACATACATACAGATACATACAGATACATACACATACATACACACACATACACAAACATACACATACATACACATACATACACATACATACACATACACACACATACACACACACACATACACACACACATACACACACACACAGACAAATACATGCATGCATATGGACATATGGAAACCTACTTATAGATACATACATATGCAAACATACGTATAGATACATACATATAGAAACATACATATAGATACATACATATAGATATATACGTATAGATCCATACGTACATATACATACGTATAGATACATACGTATAGATACATAGGTATAGATACATACGTATAGATACATACGTATAGGTACATTCTTATAGATACATACGTATAGATACATAAATATATATACATATTATACATACATACCTTTGGGTGCATACGCATACATACATACATACATACATATAGTAAGATACATACATATAGATTCATACATATAGATTCATACACATAGATACATGCATATAGATACATATAGATACATATAGATACATATAGATACATATAGGTACACATAGATGCGTATAGAAACATAGATACATGGATGCATGGATTCATAGATAGACAGATAGATAGATAGATAGATAGATACAGACAGGCAGGCAGGCAGACATACATACATCCATACCCACACACACATATATATATACATATAGACACACGCATATATATATATATAGATAGAGAGACTTAGAGAGACACATATATATATACACATATACACACATATGTACATATATATATGTATACATACACATATGTATACATACACATTTGTATACTGTATATACATATGTATATGTATGGATATATGTATATATATATGTATATGTATAGATATATGGATATATGTGTATATGTGTACGTAGGTACGCTTATGCCAGCGGACCGAAAACCGTGCTCGTAAAACGCACGTTTTTGTTAGAGTGTGTTCGGAGATCATGATGGGGTGGGGTGGGGTGGGCGGGGGGGCATGTTAACGTTCCTTGTACTTCGTACGTTCTATGTTGCTACGCTGCAGAGATCTCTCGTGTTCTTGCTACGGTGTATACACGAAGGGGTGTATATATGTATATATGTAAATATGTATATATGTATATATGTATATATGTATATATGTATATATGTATATATGTATATATGTATATATGTATATATGTATATATGTATATGTGTATATGTGTATATATGTATATATGTATATATGTATATATGTATATATGTTATACATGTATACACATGTATACATGTATATATGTCTATACATGTATACATATGTATGTATATATACTTATGGGTTATATGACCACTGGATGTAGCATGAACAAGGATGTAACAATGCTCATAATAACTAGAAATGATAGGACAGCCCCTCGCTTCTATATATGATTCATTAACTGGGACCAGCAGGACCAGCCCGGAAAGAGAGAGACATCTGGGTCCATTTTAGCAAACAAATACCACCCCCCAGTAATCACACATGGCTTGCTGGAAAATCCACCATTTATAGATGTTTTTCCTATTTTCCTATTCAAACCCAGATGTATTGGGGATCTCCCATTGCCACGTTTGATGGCACGGGAGGGTAGTGTCTACAACTTCGAACCATGGCTTCACGCCGCTACCAAGCTGACCTAGGTGATTGGGGAGTTCAACTTGGTTCCGTTCTGTTTTTGGAATCTCGAAACATTGTTCAAACATGTTATATTTGTTGATGCTGAATAGCGGATGTGAATCCCAATTATTCTTTCACTCGACTTACCAAATTGTTTATGTAGAACAATCACCATGGGCTACCCACTAGTTAAATTGATATAGATATGGTTTTAAGCCACCATGAAAGTATAGGGAAACAGCGGTTGTTTTCGGCATGCGGCTGATACGGCGCCCTTGGAAGGGTTGTCAATTTTGAGATGTGCCTTTTACGATCCCTTGGAAGGGTTGCAAATTTCAAAAATGAGGCTTTCCGAAATGGGGGTATAGGATTTGATTTTTTGGCGTCTTTAACATGTCGTATGATCATCAGGGGGGGTTGGGGGGGGCGTGTATTAACGTCCTTGACGAGCACTTCCCTTGCGGTACGGAACATGTACACGTTGCGCATGCTGTCGTATGATCATCAGAGGGGTGTATTAACGTCCTTGACGAGTACTTCCTTTACGTTAAGGAACATGGAAACACCTCAAAAAATGGCGACCTAATGCGACCTATGTCGATGCTACAGACAAAAAATCAACAAGTGTACAAAAAAAAGATACGCTTGGGCCTACTGCTGGACATGGCGTCACAATGTCGCCTTGTTGCAGTCTGTGGCTTCTGCGTTGCCACAAGCGCTCTGGCACTGAAGCGTCGAGAAGAGGAAAAAACTGGATGAGTGAATATCGCCCTGATATGATTCGGATGATTGAAAATCATAGATTTCTAATGTTTTTTTTTTCGACCCTTGAAGAGCAAAATCGAGTCACAGCGCAGGCGAAACGCAAAATTTCACTCTTGAGTCACACGCCTGCCAATCGAAATGAATGTCCATGTTGCAAAAATTTTTTGACGACTCCTGCAAATACCAGCATCATTTTGTCTCTTAGCCTCAAAAATCAGAATTTCAAATTCGTCACCCTTACAAGGGCGCCGAGTCAACCGGTTGCCTTGTTTTCCATATCTATCTTGGTTTGACCATCGCTGGTTGATATGACTTGGATTCCGTTACCATTTTTGTTAGGTTAAATCCACAATTTCCCATATTTCCCCATATTTGCCAATGATCTCCCCCTTTTTACCCATTGGTACTACGGTGGTTCCGGCGTGACTTTCAGCTCTTCCGCCAAGGCACGATCATGACTTACGATCTCGCGCAAGGCCGAAGCACAGAGGCGAGTGGATATCAGGTTTGAAAGCAACACTGGAAATCCAAGTAATTAGTTATCATCGTCCAACGTTTTTAATATAACCAATATGTGTGTATGTATACAACACATTGACATGCATACACATGCATACACACGTACATACACAATCATACACACATATATATATATAAATCAATATGCATAGCATCTCATTTTGGTATGGACCAAAGAACTACGAGGAATTTCCACGACTGTCATGGATGTGACCCAGCAAGGTCACTGCTCGCTGCTCGCAATCCATTTGGGTCCAAACTGTCGGGATTTACCTCCAATTTATGGTTATCTTAATATTTTTGATAAGGACTTTTGCCGTTTGACGACCAGTTGCATATTCTTCTCGAAGTCGAAAGGTGGAACATGAGCTTTTGAAGCATGAGATTTGGAAGTAACACATTTTCAGACGAACCCAGCTGATGCTGATGATCACATCTCGCAAAGGGGTGGGATATGGATGGATATGGATGGATATGGATGGATATGGGTGGATATGGTAGGTATGAGATGGATACAGGAAAAGGTCAATTTCGATTTTGACTTCCAGAAGTTTCGCATGGAAACGCAAAACGGATCACAATAGCACACAATAGTTATATATTATATCCTATGTTTGTTTTGTCTTACGTGGGTGTATAGTCAGGCTGAAACAGATAGAAAATGGTCGTCTCAAAAAATCCTCACCAAAATGGGGAAAGGGCTCCACCATCATCTGGAAACGGACAGAGAGGTAGGCAGTGGCTCGTTGGCCTTTCATTACCTGGGATGATGAGCACCAATGGAGTACTCAACCACCTCCAACCAATTGTTGGTAAATCAAAGTCACAAAGGGGGGGAATGGGTAATTTTACTTCTTTACTTGCCAAAATTCCACCCTTTTAACTGGGTGTTGGGAGCAATCTTGTCAACCATCAAACAAATCACCACATCCCCAAGTGCTTGGTTGCGTAGCAACATCCCTCAATTTCCGCATTTTTTGGTTCGTCATGCTACATTGTTGTAAGGTATATTGCGAGAACATGCTAGTTTCGTTTTCACCAAGTTTTGGTTGTGTTTTTTTTCTGGAGGTTGCTGGCTCAGGGCAGGAACGCCCCCCAAATATGTTTGCTTTTTACAGCACCATCGAAACTGCAGACATCCACCATAAATCCAGCTGATCCTCCTCACAAGCAACTTGCTTATCGTTCGGAGGCCCCTTCCTGCAATTCTTGATTTCCCGGAATTTGTTCAAGGGAAACCTTACCGGAAATCCCCAAGAATGCTAAAAACCAGAGTTTCCTTGACAATTTTTCTCCAATCCAATGATGGTTGACAGTCCCGCAAGGCCGAGCTTAATGACGTTGGGCACTCAGACATATCGAGACTTTGGGGAGGGTGCAAGGAGCAGCAAAAAGTTGGGTCTTTTAAAGTAAGAAAACTGGGGATACAATGAACAGCTGTGGATCTCCATTTTTCGGGATGCAAAAAGTTGGAGAATTCAGCTGATTCAACAAAGATGAAGAGTTGAGCACCAAAGGCAGGTCTTGCGGAGCCGGAGGTATGGCTGGAAAATGGGAAAATCCGCATTTTTTATCGGAAAACTAGTTGATGGGATGATAACCCCCAGGGACTCTTCTTCAGATGGCTCAGCCCATCGGAAGAATCATTGATCAAATATACATATATATATATATATATGTATATAGATATTTAATGATATTTATATTATTTTTTATATTTATGCATAGAACATGTACTGTGTAATTTCGGAAATTTTCAAAAAAAGAGGGTTGGAAGGTAGCCAACTTTGCACACTTCCCATGTCCGGCGCCCAGGCCTTGTCCAATTTGGCTTGGGGATCCATCGACACCGAGGGTGGCGAATGGGCTCGGGCCACGACGGAGGGCCAGCTGGTTGAGGGGACAGTTTTTTGGAACCCACAAGCGATTGGTGGTCTCAACGGTTTCATCTAAAAAAAAAAATCAACCAATATCTTGGGATGCTTATCTCGAATGATTACTGAGACTGCTGCAATATTCTTGAGCTTTAAACATGTTGGCGCCCTACGTTTGCCCATGCCCAAATATCACACCCAGACGATATCATATAATTGTCACCCCAGGATGAACGAAGAAAATGGCTATACGCAGCGATTTTGACTTTAGGTTCAGGATTAAGGGTTTACTGTAGGGTTTTGGGGTGTAGGACTTTAGGGTTTGCATAGGGTTTCAAGGTTTTAGGGTTTATTGGCTTGGAAAGGTTTTAAAAACACTACTGTAGCCCTATGCAGGGACAAGAACAGAGATACGACTGTGCAGCGATGCAAAGAGACTCCAGATTTCAAGAACTTTTTGGGATGGGTTGGAATCAACCACAAAGTGGCTTTAAGCCCATGAAGTATTGCACCTTATGGGGGCATTTATATGTACATATGATTACATATGTATGTGTATATATATATATGTAACTGTATGTATATAAATATATGTATAGGTAGGTATGTATGTGATGTAATGTAATGTAATGTAATGTAATGTTATGCAATGTAATTGTATGTATGTATGTATGTATGTATGTATGTTCAATATATTTCTTTCATGTTCCTTAAAATCCTTATATAGAATGATTAAATATCCCCATTCTTAGCTATTAGAAACACATGATAGCTGTTGTAAAATCCAGCAAAAACCACAACTCATTTCCCATGATCTCCCGTAAAATCCCCACGGAATATCCTCGCCGGCCAAGACCTTGGAGTCACCCGATCCATCGCTGGATCCACCGCACTCCTCGCTGATCACGTGCGCGGAGTCCTCAATAGATATACGGTATCAATTAATATCATCATGACGCATTGGAATATTTATCATATTTATTATTTATTCATGAATATTCCTTGTTGTTGTTGTTGTTGTTGTGGTTGTTGTTGTTGTTGTTGTTGATGTTGTTGTTGTTGTTGTTGTTGTTGTTGTTGTTTTTGTTGTTGTTGGTGTGGTTGTCGTTGTCGTTGTCGTTGTCGTTGTCGTCGTCGTCGTCGTCGTTGTCGTTGTCGTTGTCGTTGTCGTTGTTGTTGTTGTTGTTGTTGTTGGTGTTGTTGTTGTTTGTTGTTGTTTGTTGTGTGTTGCTTGTTGTTTGTTTGTTGTTTGTTTGTTGTTGTTTGTTGTTGTTTGTTGTTGTTTGTTGTTGTTTGTTGTGTGTTGCTTGTTGTTTGTTTGTTGTTTGTTTGTTGTTGTTTGTTGTTGTTTGTTGTTGTTGTTGTTGTTGTTGTTTGTTGTTGTTGTTGATGATGATGATGATGATCCAAATTGTTAAATGACGGGTGATGATTTGCGGAATATATCCTCAAAGTTGGCAACCTGACTCATACGTTGCCCCAAGATAAATCAGTTTCCTACTGCAGGAGCCACCTTTGGACGTCTTTTTTCCAACCAAAATCGGTTGCCTTCCCAAAAGATTCACACAAATTTGCAGCTTTTCCGAGCAACGATGTGCTAGGGTTTTCCCCCCAAACAAAAACATCTGAACATATCTGAAGCCAAGTTTTGATCCATCCAAGCTGTTGTGTTTGGTCCTTCCCTAGGGATCTCCCACCGGGCCTTCTCCAACGCCAGGTACGCGGACTACGTGGCGCGCACGTACCCGGCGGATCAGACCATGGAGGACTCAGCGCGCGAGGAGAACCTGCGCCTGGCAGCTGAGAAGCGAAGTTGTTTCACCTGTCCGGGAGAGCCGGGGTCCAAGTCCGGAACCCCAGGGTGAAGCAACCTGTGGTGCCTTGGTGATGGTTGATGAATTTACCCACTTCACAGCTATCATAACGCCATTTGCCTAGTGATGATTGACAAGTTACCGAGCACCAACTTGAGGGATGGGGGTGGATGGTGACCTCGTTGGCAAATTTCTTCCATACCAAGGCGGCCGTGTATAGTTTTTCATTGGATGATCTACGTTTTTTTTTGCACATGGATTATTCATGGTGGTCAGTCATTTCTTCCAAAAGCTAAGGCATCCACGTTTGGGGGGTCACCCCAAAAATCTGCTGCTTTATCATTTTCGGAATCGCAGTTGTGATTTGGGGATATTTTTCGGTACACCCCATGTTCAGAGGCACCCCCATAACCATATTTGCGGTGATTTAAATCCTTGAGCTCCCCTCCATTCGAGGCCCAGGGGGTCATTTTTCCACAATATTCTATTTGCATGTGGTTTCTTGTAAGTAGAATATTCGACATTAAAGATATGAATAAACACATTACTTCTTGAAGTGTGGCATTCGCAATCATGGCAACGTGATTTTGGAAACATTCGGTACTCAAGGGAGAAATGGATTTATCCCGTTTTGGAATAGTCTAACTGCCAATGTTCTCAGAATATTCTAAGTGAGATGTCGTATTAGCATTGGTTTCAATCTGGATTATTTTGTTTGCTAGAAGGTCGCTACTGTATATTCCATAAATAATCCATTAATATCCCATCCCATATCTCATTAAATTCCTATTGTTGATGGTCAGGTCACCATATTTTGCTTGATATCATATCAAGTTGGTTATAGTCAGTTATAGTTGTGTCCCATTACATATTATCCAATTGTTGTTGGTAAAATCTATGACACACTGTGCCACTAGACTACGCTTGGAGCCGAACAACTAGTGACTGGTGACTGAGAGGTGTTGATGACAAGTGATAAAATGTAATTTTCCATGAAAGTCATTGAACATGTACATATAATATAAATGTATGTTGTTATTTATAGATGTACATACATAAATAATGAATAATGAATAATAGATAATAAATAATAATTTATAAATAATACAGATACACAATAAATAAGAAATGATAAATAATAAATAATAAATTTATACATATATGTATATGTATATGCATTTGTATATGTATACGTATGTATATATGTGTATACGTATGTATATATATAATTATGTATATGTATATATAATTATGTATATGTATTTATATATGTATATATAATTATGTATATGTATATGTATACGTATGTATATGTATATATAATTATGTATATGTATAATTATGTATATGTATATTTAATTATGTATATATATGTATTTATATGTATATGTATATGTATTTATATTTGTATATGTATATGTATATGTATATGTATATGTGTACGTGTACGTGTATGTCTATGTATATGTTTGTGTATCTGTAAATATGTGCAAACACTATGTATATATATATGTACATATATATATGGTTATAAATGTGAATCGGAGGTTATCTCCCCGATTATGTACTGATGTTTGGTCTTGAAGTGGTTGTCTTCAGTGATGACGGCACACGAGTTGCGGCTTCAGCATGGCGATACTTTCTTCCGGTGCTGCAGTGGTCTTGAGCCAAAGGGGCAAGTTAACGCACCCCTTGGCGTTGGATCCTTAAGGGCTGAATTATATGGGAGTGTACAGTGGTCCGTAGCCTACACTCTATTCGCACCCCCCACGCATGGCCAACTTTGTCGGCCACGCGCAAAGGAGTGTCCCTTGAACTGATCCATTACATCTGCAGCTGTTCATTTATTGAATTATGGAGAGCTAAAGTCTGTTCAGAACTTCAAATCTACATGGCGGCTTGCTACGATCTCTACCAAAAGATAAAGGTTCTGTTCACGTGCATGTTGACACGACGTAGTCGGTGTCAAGCATTGAGGTTCATCCGATGTGGCGTAGCCAGCATGGAGTCCCACTCAAGCATGTGAACTAAAAAAAATCAAAACATAAAGATGACTACGGAACTAGAAGTTTACCTTCCCGTTCCTTCGTCGGTTGAGATGTAGACCGCTGTAGAAGCTCAGCGTCTCGTGCAATGATGTTCAAAAAAAAATGTGGTTCTAAATTAGCCGGCTCAGAGTCCTCTCAGAAATCATTCGAAATGAAGTAGAGGTAAATCTCGAGCAATGATTGCGTCCTCGCATCGCCAGGTTCAATCAGGACCTATGCAGAGGTCATATCGATTTATCATCTATATCCCCATCCATAGTATCCATGTTGGTTCCAGTCTCCACCACGGTGCGAATAAGATCTTCCACCTTTCCCTTGGTCTTTTCCACCTTTCTGTGGCGGTGTCACTGGAGCTTGTTTTGGCGGAGGAGCGGCTTCGACGGTTCTCCATGTTGCTGACGATGATGCTTTCGCTTTTGACACTCTGCCCAGTGCTGGTGCTGCCTTCGGGGCTGCCTTTGATTTGCCAGCTGCTGGGTTATTACGTTCACGATCGGCAGGAATCGGGGTATCAGCAATCGCAAGTAGGTGGGCTTCTGTCATGTGGATGCCCCATCTTGGTCGTTGATCATCCCGCTGCTTGATGTGGTTGTAGTCATTGATTGCATCATACAGTCTTTGGAGTAGAGGTCGCGGCAATTGTCGGCCATTTTGAAGGATCAGATGCAAAACTGAAATTCTTCGAAGTGGAGGTCGAAGAGCGCACACAATGTCAACTGGGTTCAGTGTGATCGTGTCTTGAAAGTCGACGTTCCTGAAGAAATAAACAGCATTCACTCTGTATGCACCTGCAATGATTCTTCTGACCAGGACATCTTGTCGGTCAAGGGCTTCGCGGGCGGCTGTGGTCTTTCTCATCTCGTCCCTTGTGGAGTCGTGTTTCGATAGTTTCTCCATCTCTTCATCGAAGAAGATATTTTGCAAGTCTTCATATGTATAGCCGCATTCAAGGGTGTATACGAGAAGTCGCTTGAGCACCACCGCCCCATAGTATGCATTGACGAATCCCTCTTCCCCAATGTCGTCCTTGTGTTGTGGTCGGCCGATTTCTTTGTAGAGCTCTTTCATCTGTTGTGCAGTTGGTTCGATGAGTTCACCATTTTCATCCTCGCCCAGGTAAGGCACCCTTGAGTCCAGGTCCATCCTGAATTTCTGGTTCTGTTGAAAATGTTTCCATGCCGTCTCGATGTCTCCACAGAAGTTCCGTTGGAATAGTCTGTAGATCCTGACGATATGTAATCCAATCTGCAACAGGAGGATTTTGATGAGCTCCGGCTGAGCATCTCCAATTGTACAAGGTTCGATTGGTAGAACCTTTGATCCAAACTCAACCCTCTTCATCCACTTGGGGTACTCAATCACTGCATCACGAGCTTCTCCAGCCTCATACTCCTCAATGTTGATTTCGTCGACCGTTATTTCTTCATCGTCATTCTCGTCGGTCGGTTTTCCTTCCTGATTGAGAAACTTGTCGACCTCATCTTGTTCTCTGAAGTCTCTTCTCTCATCATTGATGTCGCCCTTCTTCGAGGCTTGATCATCATTTTCCTCTTCTGGTTGAGGTTCTTGTTCTGGACTTTTCATGGTGACGTCATCATCATCTTGCATCAGCTCGTCGTCATCATCTTCACCTGTCAAATCGACCTTCACTTCTTCCCATGCTTTCTTAACATGGTCTTTGAGATCTTCTTCTCGATGATGTGATTCGGCACTTGGTACTGTAGCCACGGTGATCTTGATTCGCTTCCTCCATCCATGACTCACCAAAAATCCTTTGCACATCACACAAATCGATAGTGGTGCAGGGGTCTCCATCAGACATGCGGGGCATAGTCGATGGTCCTCCTTGCTGGGATGATGAGTGACTGCTAACAATGATATTGCATCATTCCAATCCGGATGTCCAGGGAACAATCTATGAGCATGACTGAAGTGACCGGTCTTGATATCGACAAGCTTTCGAAGTTCGTTCAGATCGGGTGATGATTCATCAGGCACAATGTTCCCAATGAGTTTGTCAAATCGTTCAATGGTGGCCACCCTCCTTGCTCCTTGCACGGAAAGTACAAGTTGATCTTTTCCCTTTGTGATCATGAGACGGTAGTAGTCCTTTTCCTTCCAATCGTAATACCAAACTGCATCGAATGATTCGAATGGAATTGTTTCTTGGACCAAAATGTGTCCGTCTGCTGATAATCGAGGGGAGAACTTGGCGATGGAATCGTACGTGATGTAGATGTAGACAAGATCAGTCTGTTCAATCTTCCTGAATCTCAGCGCCGTCTGACTTCGCACGTCCCACGGTGCGAATGGCACGAAGAACGTATTGATGCGGTCGCCTCCTCCTCCGGGACGTAGTCCTTCTCTGAAGATTTGAGCGATGTTGTCAAAAGTGGTGCAGTGAAATCCTCCTCCAAGAGTGTATCCGACTCCAGGGTTCATCTGATAGGAAGTCTTCTTGTCTTCGATGTGCACACCGCCTTGAACTCTTGAATGTGCCATAGGGGCACGGATTGCCACCGGCCAAAGCCAAATCTCTCGATCTGCTGTCCCGATCTCTAACCTCAGTGTGTGTCGTTCAAGTCTCGAGGTCAATCCATCATTGAAGTTGTTCATGACGTATTCCAACTCACCTTTTGTGACCTTGAGTCCTAGCACTTGAGCTCGGATTCTTTTCGTTTGCTTGTACTCAGTGAAGATCACTCTCTGGAAATTGTTCCACCTCTCAACAAGTATCGGGTAGTTGACGTAGGTCGTTCCAGCCAATGTATGTTGGTCTCTCCAAATGTTGTCGTACTTCAAGATCGACTCGACATTGACCCAACCTGCCTCATCGCATGGTAGTCCACGGTGATTTCGATTGTCTTTGACGCAACCCACGGAGTGGCGTAGCGCTGCATTGAATCTTTTCGACAATTCGACTATCCATTGCGGATTTTCCCACTTGTTGCCCATCCACTCATTCTCGCCATATCGATGCACCT